TATGACATCCTGCCAGGTGTGGCTATTTCTTCATTAGGGCTTCTATGGCTGTGAAGAGACACCATGACCATGGCTACCCTTATAAAGAAAACATTTAATACAGGTGACTCGCTTACAGTTTCAGAGGTTCAGTCCATTACCGTCATGATGCAAACATGGCAACATGCAGGCACGTGGTGCTGGAGCAGTAGCTGAGAGTTCTACATCTTGCAGGCAACAGGAAGTCAACCAACACACTGGGTAGTATCCTGAGCCTAGGAAACCTCAAAGCCTGTCTTCACAGTGACATACTTCCTCTAACAAGGTCATATGCACTCCAACAAAGCTTCTTAATAGAGCCACTTCTTATGAGATTATGGGGGCCAATAAATGTGTTTTTGCATTATGATATGGCTGTAAGTCTTTGGGAGCCAAGGAGTGGAATGTGGTGGTTTGAAAGAAAATGATCCTTAAAGGGAGTGACACTATTGGGAGGTATGACCTTGTTGGAGGAAGTGTGTTCCTGTGGGAGTGGGCTTTGAGGTATCTTTTGCTCAATGTTTGCTCAGTGTGACCTTCAGACCATTTCCTGTTGCCTGTAAGATGTAGGACTCTTAGCAACTTCTCCAGCACCATGTCTACCTGCACATCACCATGTCTCCCCATGATGATAATGGACTGAACTTCTGAACTGTGAGTTACCCCAATTAAATGTTTTATTTTATAAAAGCAATAGAAATCCTAACTAAGACAGGCTACTCGGGGATTTCAGGTAGAATGTGTTCCTAGATATTGGGAGCTGATACTCATTAGAACTGGGGATGGGCTAGAGTGGGAGACTTAAGGCATCCACAGGAGGGAGAGAAGGAAGTGTGCCACCAGGATCTGCATAACCCCCAGGGAGCTGGAGCAGAGAGGGAAGAGAGGTCACAGTGGGTAATCAGCTACAGAGCTGGGGATGAGGCTGGGGATTGGATTTGGAGGAGAGGAGGGAGAGTAAAGATTGCCTTCATACTTCTCTGGTGGGCAGCAGTTCGTCTTTCTCATACAGCAGTGTAGTGATGACGATTTGCGTTTTCTCCAGCCGCAAAAATGCGTCCCTCTCATGTACCTAGAGAGTTTCATGTCAGTTTCTCAGCCACAGGAATTATGTTTCTGTATATTCTCCTAAGGTGTCTGGTTTTTAGTTGATGAAGTTTTGCCATATCATTTCCCAGCAGTTAGGTACTCTACCAACTGATACTTCCAGAAACAACACCGAAAGGTTCCTGTCCTTTATGTATTGTGAAGTTACGCTGCTTGTCACCCACCCAGTTTTCAAACTTTTGCCATCCATTGGGTACAAGGTTTCATCTCATTGCTTCAATGAGTATCGCCTATTCTTCATGAAGTTTGAAAATATTTTCCTAGAAAGATCAGATGTGTTCATACTATTTTGCATGAATGTCTGTTCACAGCCATTGTCTATTTTTGATGAGATTTCTATCTTGTTATTGTTTTTCCATAAGAATTGCATATTTATTGTAGGTATAAATTCTTGAACTTAAGACTTGCAAATTTCTTTCTCTTTTTTTCTCTACTATGCTATTTGTCCATTTGCTTGTCTTCTCCACATTGTTCTTAATTGAATTGGAATCCTTATTTTTTATAACTAAATGCACCAAAAGTCCAATGGGTTTCAAATCCGACATTGTAAAGAATATTTCACTGTTGCTTCATCACGTTTACCTCTCTTGGTCTAGCTCCATCTCTTATGCTTAGGTGTTAGCACTTCTGTAGTTACATTTGTACAAGGCTATGGTATAGGAGTTTCTTCTGTTTATGCATTGCTTTCACTGGTTAATAAATTAAAACAAGTGGGCCCTCTCCCTACAACAATGCTAAGAGAAGACTGCTTTTATATTTTCCTGTATTGAAGAATTTTCTCAACACAACCTAACCAGTCTATGGCTTCCATATTTCTTCTTAATCCAGTACCACTTTGCTCAGATATCAAACTTCCATTGATAACTCAATATTCTCAGAGTTAGTATTGAACTGGTTTTTGATGCTCATGGCTCTATAGTGTCATCAACCTGGTAAAGTAAACCACTCTTTTTACTCCTCATCTTTGTTTTTTTCTTTTTTGTTTTTTTGTTTGTTTTTCGAGACAAGGTTTCTCTGTAGTTTTGGAGCCTGTCCTGGAACTAGCTCTGTAGATCAGGCTGGCCTCAAACTCACAGAGATCCACCTGCCTCTGTCTCTTGAGTGTTGGGTTTAAAGGTGTGCGCCACCACTGGGCCGCATCATATACTTTTAAAAGCCCAATTAACTTGAGTTTTTAATGATGTTTATTTTTCTACATAGATTTTATAATTTCTTAATTCTGGTTATTTTAAAAATAAAAATTGATTGTGATTTTATTTGTCTTTATGTGGTCTGCTGTAACAAATTAACACCGACATGGTAGCTTAAGCAATGTATTTTCATCTCAGCTAGAGCCCTGAGCTAAAGGTGCATAGTCTCATAGTCTTGTTTTTAGCAGACTCTTCTTCCTGGTTATAGAGGGATATTTTTTTCCCTCACAGGTTGAAAAAAAAAAGAGTCTGGTAGTACATAGGTGTCTTCTTAAGACATATATTTTGTTCTTGAGGACCTTAGCTTTATGATCTAGTAGTTATGTTTCAGTGAACCCCAACTCTACTATCTAATTATCACACTGGGATTTGGATTTAAGTGTATATAATTGGAGAGGACACGAATATTCATCCTATTGCATTCTGCTCTTTAGTTCCAAATTTCACATTGTCACATGCAAAATAAATCCCACTCTTCCCACAGCTTCTGTTCTTAACCTGTTCCAGCATCAGATTTAAAGCCCAAAACAAAAGCGTTCTCTCAACAGCACCCAAACTGGGTGTGGGCGTGACTGAATGGAGCTCAAGTTTTCAAGCATCCGTCAAAGGCTAAGTGTTCTGTTTGGCTCATATATTGCTTAAAACTAGAGGAATTTCATAGGTAAATCACAGTTTTCTGGGTTCATTAGAACCTGGACTCCAAAGGCGTTTAGGTTTGTGCTCCGTGGTTTATTATTTTGACACCTTCCTTTTTTCTCTTTCAGTCATCTCTTAAGTTCATTTCCTTTTCTAATGGGCTGGTCTGTGACATTAGGTTATCTCTAGATGGATCAACCCAATTTTCTACATGGAATGAAGCATTATAAACAAAACTTGAGATTTAGTCCTTTGTTCTTTACAAACAATCTAAGAAAGCAAAGGGTATTTTCGCATTCTTGAACCTATCATCACTTTCTGCTTTCTAATCAGAAATTATCTAAACCCTTTAAAAAGATATCAGATCTAGTGTTGAGTGTGTGCTCATACAGCTTCCGCTTTGCACTGCGTAGGTTCTGGAAGATGAACTCAGATCATCTTTATCTGCAGAGCCATTTCACTGACCTTCACCCCTTTATTTTATTTTTTTTTATTTATTTATTTATTTTTTGTTTTCTTTTAGTTATTTTATTTTTTAAAACATCCCTTTCCATGCCTACTTATAATCTTCTGGTTCTTAGAATAAGTAATACCTTCAAGCATACCATTTGGGTAATCCTTACTTAAATAGAAAGATAGTATAATATGAATCCCTCTGAGATCAATAGAAGGATAGTATAATGTGATTGCCTCCAAGATCAGGATTCCTGGATTCAAGCTGGTGCTTTGGGACTTCTAAGTTACTCTAACTATAAGGAATTCTTTTCTTTCATCTTAAATTTATAGTTTTTTATTTTTTAAATGCTGTTTTACTTTTATTAGTTCTTTGATATTTTGTGCAATGTGTAGTGATGTATTTACCCCTCACTGAATTCCTTCCATGTCCATTCTGCTTTCCCTAATCACCCAACTCTGCTTTCTTAACCCATCAAGTCTAATTTGCGCATCCAGTGTTTCTGCAGGATTTCCTTAGGACACTTTTATTTGTCACCATTGTTGTTGTAGTTATTGCTCTGTATTGTTACTGATTGTATCTTTTCCTATCTCTCTTATTCTAGAGATAAAAGTAACAGAGCTCCGTAAATGCTAGAGGCAGAAACCAACTTCCCCATGACTGTCACTAACACAGAGCCCAGGGCCTGGCTTGTTGACACTTACTTCAGCAATGTTTATTGAGCACACTTATCTTCAGGAGCTAAGATCTAGGTTTCCAGCAGTACACAAGAGAGACCAGATTGTTGACTTTATTTGGATTACTTTGTAAAAGAGTAGCCAAGCAATAAACAGAAATAAGCTAATCAATCAAGATTGTGCTGTATTAGACAGAAGCTACTGAGTTAAGAAGAACTCTTTGGGGGCAGAGGGAAGATAATTTGAGAAGGTTCCTAACGAGCATTAACAGAATGAGTAAATCCAAGTGGGGAGGCTAAGGAGAGCAGTATCCTCTCTGTCACACCAACAGGAATAGAATCTAAGTTTTGTTGGCATTCTTCACTGAAACATGGTGCTTTAACACTTACAAACAATCTTCAGAAAATAAGTTATGTTGCTAAAGATAAAATTACTAAATATAAATTCATTGTAATACACATATTTAAAGAGAAAATTGATCCACAAAAGATCACTGAGAAAAGTAAGTCAGAGCATGTAAGCTGCTAGTCCTGCCTTCTGACTCACATGTATGAATTTGGAATAAAGTGTGAAATTTATTCAGTATTTATTCCTCACCTAGTGTGTGGCAGACACTGGGCAAGTGGCACATTCCCTGCTCTCAGATTTACATTGTTTTCATGGAAGAGATTATTCAAATGGTTTGAGAATTATTTTAAATTAATAGCTAATTTAATTAAAATTTTATTTTATTCAAAATCATCTGAGTCTAAGCATTGAGTAGTAAGCAAATTATCAAAATTCAGTATAGGAGGTGATTTAAAAAACCAATGCTGAAGTGTTTGGTCTGCAGGAAAAGTTTTTCTTGATCTCTGTAGAAAATTAAACTTTTATTTCTCAAGTGTTTACAGTTCACTGTCTAATTCTTTTACTTATCAGATAATTGACATAGGAGAGAGTATAAGTATTCCAGATGAATTCACAGAGCAAGAAAAGAAGTCTGGGGTATGGTGGAAGCAGCTGGTGGCAGCCGGAATAGCGAGTGCAATCACACGGACATGCACAGCGCCTCTGGACCGCTTGAAGGTCATGATGCAGGTACTCCGTGTGCTTTGAAGGGGCATGGAGCCCAGGATAACTAAGATGCTAATTTTAAATGTCTGCCAGATTTCATATCATCTCTCATTGAATTTTATGCTTTCTTGACAATTTAAATTATTTTCTCTTTACCGTTAAAATATCTCTTCATTTTCTTCAAGAGGCTCCTATGGTGTTTGAAAAGATTAATCTTGAATGTCAGCTTTATTGGACTAAGCCGAACCTAGCAGATTAGCAGAGTGCTTGCCCAGGTGGTCTCTCAGGGCATATGCATAGGATTAACTAAGGAAGAGGAGTCACCCAGATGGTGGGCAGCACCAGGGCATAGGCTGGTCTTCTGAGGAAGAGGAGAAGGGAGTAGCTGGCCAAGCAGAATTCCCTCTCTCTGCTCCCTGTCACAGAATGGGAATTCCACTGCTTTGCTGCAGTGAATGAAACCTCTGAAGATGTCTTTCCCTGTGTGTGGTTGCTTGCTCATAATGGGAAAACGCTACCTAATACAATACTTGAATTAATTTTAACTTAAAATAGCAATAGATCCACCCTATTAGTCTGTTTTTCAGAAGTATAAAATTCATAATTACAACTCAATACTTGCTGAATTCTTTGCTATAAGAATATAAAAATCAAGAAACAATATAGTGAATTTAAATCTGTAATTAAAATGATATATCTGGGTATTTTATTGTCCCTAGTTGTTTTGGTGATATTAGTAACCTTTGGTGATGAGTTGTAGATAGTTATTATAGTATATGTTACCTAATTAATAACTTTGCAATTTTTTCTTTAATCTCTTAAAATCCATGACTGTGCTTAAATGTTAAATTTATATACCATTTTTAGAAAATACAATGTATTGGAAGGATATTATTTTGGATTATGGGAGCTTTACTTATTCATCCCATACCTATTTAGCAGAATATGTTATGTATTAGGTCTTTAATGGCCATTAAGTACTGAACACAGACACACTTTTTAACATTAGAGGAATTACAATGCATCAGAGAAATATTTAATAAGATAATAAATATTGAAATGTCATTATATAACAGCACTGAAAACACACTAGTACTATGGGAATACCAAGGGGAAATAGGTACTATTTTATTTTTCCTTATTATTTCTCTGTAGTGAGATTTTATTTGTATTTTAATAAATAAAGCTTGCCTAAAGACCAGAACGCAAAACAGCCACACTAGTTCAGCCATACAGATCAGGCAGTGGTGACACATATCTTTAATCCCAGCAGCCACACTAGTTAGCCATAGAGGTCAGATGGTGGGGGTGAACGCCTTTAGTTTCAGCACTAGAGAGGAATATAAGGTGGGATGAGACAGGAACTTGCTCTCTTTCAGTCTGAGATTTCATAGAGGTAAGAGGTCTCTACTGGCTTGGCTGCTTTGCTTCCCTGACCTTAGGTTGAACACCAGTATCTGTCTCTGGGATTTTATTATTTGCGCTACATTTCTTATGTAGATCTAAAACAATATCTTGGTTAATTTATCCAATAAAAATAAAGGCTTTATTTAATCATCTAAGTATGGGGAGTATAGTTTAGTACGTGGTAATAGGACAACTAACCCATTATCCTTCTGTGTCCTTGATTCCATGGCCAGGAAGCTAAGTGTGGACAATAGTTAGGAAAGACAGAATTGAAAATGTTCTGTTACACATTAAAGTAGGAAACCCAGTTTCTCCAGTACCTGGGTCTGAAAGAAAAATTTAAAAATTACGTGTAAAGGACATGCCAGAGCAATACAGAGGAGACATAGTTGATCTGTGATAGAGATGGGAATAGGGCCAAGAGGGAAAATTAAGAAGAAAATGATCTTGTGTGCTTATTACATGTTTGGTGCTAGAAACGCAAAGATGAAAGAGCATAGTTCTTATTTTCTGAACATTACAGACATATAACTCTGTGGTGGTGATATGATATTGAAAATAGCAGTTGTCACTTGAGAGGTTTTGCTTCGTACACCACGGGAAAGACTATTGTAGGTACCCCCAGGTGGGGGTGATTAGATCGCTAAGACTTGTTGGGTTAGCGAGGGGGGAAAGGCATGCAGCCACATCTGTAGTGAAAGTGTTTGCTGGACATGATGGGCTGCTGCACCCATGCACTCACAGCAGCTGCGACCGTATGCACAAGACCTAAGATCAAGCCAGCCCAAACCCTAGCATGGGTAGGGCAGGCTCCTACCTCTGAGGAGCCATTGGCCATCGACGGCTGCTGCAAGAGGAACGGTCAGCTTTCTCCAAGGAAGGGGCCCCTGAGAGGAGATGGTCCTAGACCCATGCGCACACATGCAGCATCAAGTGGACATGTGGATTAAAAAGCACATGGAGTTGAGAGGGAAAGTGATGGAGGGGATAGGGAAGGAGGTGAAGGGGATGAAATGATCAGAACACATTATGCATGTATTATTATTAAACAAGGAAATCTCAAATTAAAAATATAGATCAAATGTGGGATAATGGAAAGAATAAAAAAAGGAAAGAAATAAAGCCTAGAGAGTAGGAAAAGGATGTGAAAAAGGAAAGGAAAATATAGGAAAAATAGAGAATATGAAGAGAGAGTAGTTAAGAAGTGAATTAAAGCCAGGTGTGATGACACGTGCCTGTCGTCTCGGCACTTAGGAAGTGCAGGCAGGGGAAGCAGGAGTCTAAGGTCATCCTCAGTTACATAGCAAATTTCAGGCCAGACCCTGTCTTTCTCTCTGTCTGTCTCTCTTATGCACACATTTTTTAAAACTATAAAATGACAGGAAAACATTGAAGGCAGACATAACTGACCTGTAATTTCCACAACTCCGTTTGTTAGAAATTCAGTAACAAAGTACCACAACCTGGCATGAAATCAGAAACGTATTGTCGTACTTCTGGAGGACCAGTCAAGTGGTCCACAGGGCTGGCTGCTCCCAGGGTGCTCAGGGAGTCTGCTCCTGGTGCCTCTCCTTGACTCGGATAAGGCCATCTTCCCCGTCACTTTATATTGCCTTCCTTCTTGGTGTGCTATGTCTCTATGCCAAATTTTCCTTTTATAAGGATAAAGGTCTTATTAGATCAGCTTGATTCATCTGCAAAGACCCCCTCCAAGTAGGACCAGAACCTGAAGGAATAGGAGTTAGGGCGTCCACATATTTGAGAGCTACAGTCCAATCCACAATGCCCTGAAGCCTCCATGTATTCATCATTGGAAGTTTGATGTATTTTTCATCCAAATCTGTTTTCAATGCATATTTCAACATGCTCTTTAATAATCTCAGGGTATTTTTGGTAACAGGCACATACTTTGCTTATGCTAAGGGTCTCTGATAATTGAATTAGAATTCTGTCTTCCATAAGTTGTCTTTATTTTCCTTTGCTGTTTTAGATTACAGTAGTCCCCGACTCTGGGGGAAGTTTTTCCATTGGTTACCTTACACTGTAGATAGCACTAAACCCTAGAACACTGTATTTTATCCTATACATACATACACACAATAAAGTTTAATTTATAAATTAAGTATAAGAAGGGATTACCAGCATCAATACTAAAGTATAACAATCATAATACTATATACCCTAATACAAGTTATAGGACTTTCATCCTCTCACTGAAGAAAGCACTTTATGCTGCCTCTGGCATATGCACATTGCCAACATCACTACTGCTGAGAGTTGGGGCCTTAATGGAGTGAAATAAGGGGTACTTGAATATATGCACTATGGTAAGACTGTAGTCATAGGTCTGATAACAGAGATAGCTCCTGATTATTGGGTAGTTTGACTACACCCCATAGATACACTACACTGCGCAGAGGTGTATCTGCAAGACAAGGTGGAGTAAAATTGTGGGTGATTTCATCATCTATGCTGAGCAGCCTGCAATTTAAAACACATGAAATGTTTGTTTCTGTGATTTTACTTTCTTCAAAACATAGGATGCGAAACAGCGGATGTGTGACTGGGGGCAAGGAAAACAGTAATATTGCTTTTATGTGACTGCAGAAAACCTAAACGGCTGTTGAAAGTTACGAATTCTATAGATTTCGTTATTTCACCAGCAATGAAGTAATTTTATATTACCAGCAAAGTAAATGTAAATAACCTCACCACTGATTTCTAGGTTCGTCGTTCAAAAGTAAGTAAAACGGGATTGGTGAATGAGTTCAAGCAGATGATAAAGGAAGGCGGCCTTTTCTCTCTGTGGCGAGGAAACGGTGTGAACGTCTTTAAAATCGCACCGGAGACAGCACTCAAGATCGGGGCCTATGAACAGGTGAGGTGTTATCGACTATGGGGTTTTTAAATGATCATGTTTGAAATTTGGGTTTTGAAAAGTTTAGACTTTTGTGAAAGAGAACACAAGTGTGTGTAAGCAATAGTTGTCAGTGCAAATATTACTGATTTTTATTTCCATGTGGTCACCTTTGTGCTTTCTGATTACTATTAGAATGCCTCTGTAGGCTGCACTGTATTATTTTAGCAGGCCTGTGACTAGTTCTTTTAAGTTAATTGTCACAGCATAAGAGGCTCATAATTTTTTTCTTAGAACAATTTGAATGTTTTTCAGAGATTTCAGTCCATTTGTTAATGAATCAAGAATTAATCTTCCAATTTAGTGAAGAGAAAGTTGAGAAACATGCACTGAATTTCAAAAATTTTCAATCTGATTTAGACTTTTGCTTTTCCTTAAATAATTTACTTTGAGACAGGACAGATATCAGTTTTCAGATACTGCAATTTACTTGGGTTTCATAAGAGTCTAAGCATGCTCTGTATGCTTCTCGGGTTTTTCCTCTTTATTGTAAATTTTAGAATAATTCTCTCCTCTTTTAAATAAATGTTTAGCTACGGGATTAAAGTGCTTCTTTTGTAGGCCTTTTCTTCATGGTCCTAGAACCTTGATGTTGCATGAAAACATAAAAGATTGGTGCTGACCTTTCTTAGGGCAGATGGTTGAAGAGCAAGTAATAGATGAGAAGGACACTGGACTCGGCTTGAAATGCTTGTCATTAGAATACACAGCTCTTCCTAAAATGGGGATTTGCTGATTCATCCAACGATATTGTTTTGATCAGCTAGTGCACACCTCATTTGTTAAAGACCCTTTTCTAGATGATAGAAATGTCGCAAACTAAAACAAACAAAAGGGATCCCATCTATCTTTGTGGATTTAAAAACAACAACAATGAATGAAGGGATGGATGAATGAATGAATGGTACATCAGGTGTTATCAGTGGCTACTAGGAAAATAGAGGAGCAAGACTGGGAACTCTTTCAAGGAGTTTGGCCATGAAAAGAAGAAGGGGAATGAAGTGGGAACCAGAGGGATAATGAGCCCAAAGTGGGGGGGGGGGTTCCTACCACTGGAAAAGCAGTGCTTCTAAAGTGACCCAGTGAGGATACTACAGAGCTCAGAGCGGGTATGCGAAGTGACTGTCCTCAGAAGGAGCAGAGCTGTGGTAAGAGACTGGAGCTGGTGCTCAGGAAGACTTGGCATTGCCAGGCCCTTGAACTGCAGTCCCAGGAGAAGCACAACTGAGCGGGTCTAACTGTAGGCAGGTTTCTTGTAACTTTCTTCTCAATGCTTCAGTTTCTTTGGTTAAAAGGGGAAGGAAAGGCACGTTGGAGGCTTGAAGGAAGAGGAGGAAATATCAAATAGTAAGAGAGTCACAATATAGCTAGAACAAGGAAATGAAACGAGATTGTTGGTAGCTAAGGTCAATTAAACAGTCATGAGTATAAATTTGTACCAGGCAGCAGAGAGACCCAGGAAGTCTGAGTTACAATCTCTTTTGAATTTTGACAATTTCTTGTATTTCAATATTTGTCATGTGCCTACACATGAGTTAGGTCTTACACTGGAGAGGGGGTAGATGAGAAAATAAGATATATATTAACTCTCTGCTCTTCTAGATCCACATTCTATTAAAAGTTCATGTTGAAATTCAGGGATGCTTCATCTTAATAAAAATACCAATTTAAGAGACAAAAATACTGTGTTGCAAACATAAAAAAGTCATGTCCGCTGTGTGTGTTCATGACTGTTACTGGGAATGTCTATGTTGTCATTTATGAGGAAAAAGAATGTTCTGGACTCTGTGTCATCAGCAGGCCACCATCACTTCTTAAGGGGGCATAGAGCGACACAGAGGACACTCCAGGTAACGGTGTTACTAACCAGGCTTTGACTTCAGAGTCTAGTCTGTAGCCCTGGTGAGCTGGAATGAATCACAGAGAAGCAGAAAAGGGCTTTCCTGTTTGATGCCAACTTCTGCTGAGTGACAGACAACAGCCTACTTGGTGCTTCCTTTCTTTAGGCCCCATCCTGCCTCCTGCTGGCCTGTCCAGGGACTCATTGCCTTGTAGAGATGACAAGAATGAAGGAGATGCCACTGAAGGTGTGGAACACGTTAGCTAGTCCTCTTCTCTTGTACTGAAAATCTTTTTTTCTTGCTATTGAGAAGCCCTGTCTGTCCCTTAGCTAACCCACAACCTTCTCCAGGTTTTCTAGGAGCAGAGAACGTCATTGGAGGATGAGTGTTGAGTGAGGCTGGGCCAAATGAGGTGTAGTGATTTTCCAGAGACCGTATTTTACATTTTGCACTCTGTGTAAAGTCCTTACGCCAACATTAAGCCTTCTGAACCATCATGTCCAGTTTGAAGTTGCACTTTCTATATTCAATTTCTAGCTCTACCTCTTTCTAGTTATGCAAAGTAGCCAAACTACTTAACTTCCCTGTGCTTTCATTTTCATAAATGTTCCTTCACTTAAAATATAAAGAATAAGGATGTGATGTCATGAAACCTGATGGATTATTGGGTGCATCACCTGCTCATACCAGTGTCTGACACAAACGTTAATGAGCATTTGCTATTTTAATCCATCCCGAGTTGTTTCTATAACAACTACACTTTAATTTATTTGTTACTGAGAAAGACAGAAAGACCTTATGACAACCATAGAAAGAAATGTGTATGACATAGACATATAAAACATGGAACAAATGTGATGCCACGTCTTAATCATGTTGGGAAATGGTTGAGAAATGTCTAAATAAAATATTATTAAGTTCTCTCTCCCCAAGCCTAGTAAACTTGACTAGGGAGATCGTAGAAGTCAGCATGTTACTACAGTCCTCCTGCCTATGATCTGTTACAACAAAAACACCCAAAGGAAATTTGGCGAAAGTAATAGACAGGGTAACTTATAAAGAAAAGATATTGGCCTTGAAGTACAAGACCAAAGGGAAAGCTTCTGGAAACCTTTAGGTTGTACACATTTGTGTGGTTTCTCTGATTAGAACCTGTAATACTACATTAAGCAGAAACGCCGAGAATGGGCGTTTCTGTCTCATCCTGGATCTTGGAGGGGATGTTTTTACTTCTCCCATTGATTAAGAGGTTGTCTCAGTCTGCCTACATCCATTGCAGGCTGCGATAACAAGCGTAGACACTGGGTTACTTATAAAGAAAAGAGATTTGTTTCTAACACTTCTCGAGGCTGTGCAGTCCAAGGCTACTAACCCTTTGAAAACCTTCAAGCTACACAGTCCTGCAGAAGATGCATGCGAAGGAGAAAGGCCAGAGAGGCTACCTAGCTTCATTCCAGGTCACTTTAGCCATCTTTGATCCATGCTGGTTATAACTGGGTTCTCTTATCAAGCATTGATAAGAGCGGGGCACCTGTTGCCCCATCACTTCTTAGAGGGCCTGCCTTTCTGTTAATAATGATGCCGTGGAATGATGGCCAGTTCTAATGGGCGACTTGTCACAGTTTAGAATCATCTGAGAAGAAGGTCTCAATGAGAGATTGTCCAGATTAGGCTGTCTATGGTAGCCTATGTGTCTTGGTCTCCTTCGTCTGTGTGTGAAGACAGCCTGAGACAGCTGGCAACGTTCCTTGGTTTGGGGCCCTACTGTTTAAGAGTAGAGAAAACTAACTGAGCACCAAGCATACATGCATTTCCCCTTCTCTTTCTGATCTTTACTGTGGATGGCACTGGCTGCTTCAAGCTCCTGCTGTTTTGTCTTCCCTGCCATGATGGACGTATCCTGAAACCATGAGCTGAAATGAACTTGCTCCATTCGGCTGCTCCTTATCATACCAACAGAAACCAAACTAGAATAAATGGCAATTAAATTCCACCATGAGCGGAGGAGAGACCACTCAAGCCAGAGTTAGCTGAGGGCTTTTTCTGTTTGACCTTTGTTGAATGCAGAAAAGTTCCTCCTATACCTATTTGAAAAAAATTTTACCCCAGAGTTTTAATCATGAATGAATGCAACTGTGCTCAGTGCTTTTTCTGTCTATTTAGATGATAATGTATTTTTTTAAATGGTGTACCACATTGATATATGTGCATATGCTAAACCTTTGTCTTTGATAAATACCACTCCCTCCTAGTATCTGATCTTTTAAGTGTGCTCTTAAGTTTGGTTCACTAGTGTTTTTTTTTTTTTTTTGAGGATTTTCTCATCTCTATGGATTTTCTCATCTCTATTCATTTGGGATACTGGCCTCTTGTTTTGTTTTATTATGTGTTTGACTTGGATCAGTGTGATGCTGGCTTCCAAAAGTGAACTTAGGAGTATTGTATATATATATATTACATATTATATATACTATATATAATATTATATATAAAGAATATATATGTATATTTAAGAGTGGAGAATATGAGTTCTTTAAATTAAAGCCTTCTGACCATTGGTTTTCTTTTGCTCAGAGATTTTTGAGTGGTGATCCTGTAAATGTTATTGATCTGCTTGGGTTTCCCATTTCTTCTTATTTCAGGCATGACTTTATTTTGGGCATAAGGTTTTGTAGTTTATTGGTATTAGTTCTTCCTACTAGTGTCTTATAATTATTTTTACTTTTGTGATGCCAACTGTAATGTTCTCTTTTAAGTTTGATTTCAGTTTTTTTAAGGTTTTTACCACCCTCCTCATTGTTTAAAAACTCGAGATGCAATCTTGCTGTGTTTTGAAGCTGCCCCGGCATCCCTGTAGCTGGGTTGCAGGTACACACTGCAGCATTCGGCTGCGTGGCTCCTTTTCAACGGCACTGATCTCTGAGCACCTTTCCCATGTACCCCCTTTTCTTGACAGTCCGTAGATTTTCTTAATCTTCCCACTCTTCTCACCACCCTCACCCCTCCCACCCTTATGGCATATTTGGCTAAACGTGGCTAATGCACACTGCAGCCTAAAGGCTACTGCTTTGGAACGTTCTCTGCCAAATAAAGCACTCTGTCTCTTTTAAAGTCTGACTGGCAAAGATCCCAGGGCATCCTAATATTTTTTACATGTGTATGCCTGCATGCATGTATGTATGTGCACTGTGTGTATGTCTACTTCTGGCAGTGGTCAGAAGAGAGTGCTAGATTGCTTGGAAGTGGAGTTATGAATGGTCTTCAGCATCCAAGTGGTTGCTGGGAACTGAGCCCAGGTTCTCTGCAAGAACAGCAAGTGCTCTTAACCACTGAGCCATCTCTCCACATCCACCCTAGTTCTTATATATGGCTATGAAGGGCGGTCTGTAGGCTAACTGCCGCGAGTCTTAGAAGCTTTCCTGTCCTAGTCTTCCTCACTACACTCCTTGTGAGAAAGCAGCCTATCGTGTTGTCTAATTATCATGTCAGCAAACACGCTGTCTTCTGGGTAGAAAGCAGAGTGCTGAAAAGAACTAGGAACACAGCTTCTGTTTCTGTGATTCGCATGCTCCTTGTGACAACACATTCAGTAATGGACTTAGGTCATTTGATGTAGCTATTAAATTAGTCCATAGGAAAAAGTAAGAGAGCTGAATAGAGAGATTTAACTCATCTGTTAAACAGGAACTGAAATTTAGTCTTGTACTAGGTTGTGCTGATGTTCAGCACCTGATGTATATTTTAATGTAATTTTCTACTTTTAAATACTGTTATAAAACTTGAAAGGCATATATTTCAGTAACACTATATACTTCAATATTTTTATTTATACAGTATAAGAAACTTCTTAGTTTTGATGATGCTAATTTAGGAGTTCTTCAAAGATTTATAGCTGGCTCCATGGCTGGTGCAACTTCCCAAACCTGTATCTATCCCATGGAGGTATGTATTCTTATAACATCTTAATAAACAGCATGATCTTAATGCAACTAACAGTCAGAAATGACTTTGTAAGATTTGAATCTTGTACAAAGTGTCAGTCTCAATATACTTTGATTTGTTTAAGACAAATGATATTATAGATAGACCAAGAAAATACATGTCTATTTAGACACTTGGTAGGGAAATGTGGGTTTCCATTCATAAGCAGGCTAAGCGTATGATATTCTGCTACGGGCCATGTAGGATCCAAGGGAGACTCAGATGGGGATTTTGATCATGTATTCCATGATCTATAAGGGAAGATTAAACATATACATCCATATCAATGATCCAAATTGGAAAAAGTTGTAGAAGATAGCTCATTATATAGTGCTATGGAAACCCAAAGGGGAGAATTTATTTATTTCTAGTTAAGAATTCCATGAGAGACATGAAGAGCAGGTGTGATCACAGCACAGGCTCTGAACATGAGGGATTGGGAAGAAAGGCACTTTCAGTGGAAGTAACACGTTCAACAAAGGAAAGGAAGTTTTAATGAACAGACAATTAGCCTTAGACTGTTCATTTGTTTGGAGTGTTTTTATTATTGCTGTTTGTGTTTGGTTATTTGATACAGTATCCCACTCTATAGCCCAAGTTGTCCTGGACGTCACTATTCAGCCCAGGCTAACATCAGGTTTATGGCAATTCCCTTGTCCTTGTCTCCTGAGTGTTGAGATCACAGGCATAAGCCACCAGGGATTCTATGATTTCTGTAAAATTCCTAAGCGTGATATAACAGACCTCACAAGATTGCTACACAAGTCTAGCAAATCTAATCAATACGCCTTTATTATATTCTTTCCCACCCAGGTGATAAAGACCAGGCTGATTTTAGGTAAAACTGGCGAGTATTCTGGGATTGTTGATTGTTTCAGGAAGCTTCTGAAGACAGAGGGCATTCAGGCCTTTGGCAAAGGCTATGTTCCCAACCTGATAGGTATCATACCATATGCAGGCTTAGATCTTGCCATCTTTGAGGTGAGTTCATTTTTGACATATGTCATTATGCATTATATTTGACAATGTTACACAAGATTTTTATTCTGAAATATAGATATGGTGTTGCAGGAAATAGCTTCTGATCAAGAATCAAATTGAGTATTTTTATTTGCCTTTCTCTTAGACATCTGGTAATCTAGTCATTTTTGCTTTTGTTTTTTTTACTTCCAATAAAATGGTAGTTTTAAGCCTTGGGGTGTGCATCAGAATCAGTTACTTGTAGATCTTTAAAAGAATAGACCCCCTCCCCTTGGTCACATCCTGAGGTTTTCTGATTTAATTATCACAGGAAGGCTTGGTGTAGTTGGAATTTACTTTGGGCCGCCAACCAGCTCACAAATAAAGATATGGAGACTTATTAATTGTGAATGCTGGGCCTTAACTTAGGCTTGTCTCACTAGATCTTTTAACTTAATTTAACCTGTTGATTTAATTAATTTAACTACATTCATCTATATTTTTCCTCAGAGGGTTTTTTCCTTTCTTTCATTCGGTATATCCTGCTTTTCTGCTTGCCCCATGTCTGTCTGTCTGGCCCCAGCCGTCTCCCGGGCATCTCTTTTTCCTTCTTCCTTCCCAAGTCTAAATTCCTCTTCCTCCTTACTCTCCCTGCCTGTAAGTCCCACCTACAGTTCCTTCCTTGTTATTGGCTATTCAGCTTTTTATTAGACCAATCAGGTGCTGTAGGCAGGCAAGTAGAACAGCAACACATCTTTCCATAATTAAACAAATGCAACACATCTTTACACCACTAATCAAATAAACACAGCATAAACAAATGTAACACATCTTTACATAGTTAAACAGATATTCCGCAACAGCCTGGGATTTGGATTTCCTAACTGCCCAGAAGAATCTGATGCACAGGAAAGTTTGAGAAAACAGAACTATTCTTGCATGGTTGTGAAGATTAGAATCAAGGAAGGGAATAAACATGGGTTAAACATGAGAGCCAGCCTAGAAGTGTTACCAGACAGGGTCACGGGCATTTCATGGTCATGCCCATGCATCTGTCTCAGGACAGATTTGACACTGGCATAAAAACATAAAAACAGTATTGTGTGAGCTCCTGTGAGAATACCCAGAATTTTTGCTCTGGTCTTTAAAACCAAAACAATCAAAGGAAAACCAAAGCAAAGCCCGGCAAAACCGCATAAGAAACATAGACATCCAAATGCGGAGCGTGAAGCTCAGTTGCTGAACTTTATTCTACTCAGAGCGGCAAGATCAAAGTCCTCTCTTCTTCACCAGCTTCTGAAGAACCACTGGCTGGAACACTACGCAGGAAACTCCGTGAACCCTGGCATAGCCATTGTGCTGGGCTGCAGCACACTGTCACACACTTGTGGCCAGTTAGCCAGTTTCCCCCTGAACCTTCTTAGAACTCGCATGCAGGCAGGTGAGTTTCCTGTCGTTTTAGATGAGTGAAGTCATCACTAAGGTAAGAGATATGCTTGAAATAAGTTTGAGTGGATGATTTTAAAGGCAGAAACCCCATAGAATTGATGAAAAAAGGAAAAGCTAACTGATTTAAAACACTGGATCTGAATTTATTATTATTTAAAAGATTTATTTATTTTATTTTATGTGTATGAGTGTGTTGCTTACATGTATCTACGTATACCACATACGTGCAGTGGCTGAAGCAGCCAGAAGAGGGCAATAGAGCTCTAGGAGCTGGAGTTGTAGCTGTGTGCAGCCTTGTGGGTCCTGGGCACTGAACCCGGGTCCTCTGGAAGAGCAGAAAGTGCTCTTAACCATTGAGCCATCTCTCTTGGAACCTTTTGTAAGTTTCAGTTATCTTTTTCCCTTTGAAGTTCTGTCTGGGCCCCTCCACATTTGCTCCAGTTACTATGGTCTCTTTAAGACTTTACTTAGGAAGTGCCATGTAGAACAGTGGAAGGGGTTTCTTTGTTCACATCAAACCAGCGTCCAGTCCACAGGGGCAAGCTGCTCTCCTTGGTTTGCTACCACTGCTGTAAATTGTTTGTGGACGCTGTGCTTCAGTCTGCTCAGGGAGTTGATATTAAGCCCTGTGTATTTTCTTTTTCTTGGTGAAATGTTAGAGATTTAGATTTTAACAAATAAAAATCACTTTCGAAGATGAAAAGGCAGCACAATGCTGTTACCTTCTCGAGTGTATTAAGGGGTCTCACATTGGGTAATATGCTTGGACTTTTTCCTTCTCCCCGTCTTTCTCAGTGAGGCTTTGGGTACAACTTATATTGCAATTGAGATGGAGACTTCCTCTGTCCAGGATCACTCATGCCTTTTTCTATTAAACTGCCCTTCAGCCCCCCTTCCAATTGACTCTGTGAAATGTTTCATAGAAGATTTGCAAGTTGTTCTAGGGACCTTTATGTATTGATGAAATCATCTATATCTGTACTGCCCATACAGCAGCCACTGACTACATGTGACTATCAGGCATGTGAAATGTACTAATATGGCTGGAGAGCAGAAATTTAAGTTTACTTAAACAGCCACATGTGCAGTTACTACCCTATTGAGCAACGTAGGATCATTCTATATATGAGTATCCTCCGAAACGATTGCAATTTCTATAAATTCTCATTACCTTTGGGCTAGATTACCATGTAAATATTAAATATTGAATTATACTGTGCTTTAAAATTTATAGCTATCGTGGAAAAGGAAACAATACCTATGTTGCAGCTCATTCAAGAAATATACACTAAAGAAGGAAAGAGGGGTTTTTTCAGGGGTCTCACCCCTAACGTCATCAAGCTTCTCCCTGCAGTGGGCATCGGCTGCGTGGCTCATGAACTAGTGAAGCCGCTTTTTGGATTAACCTAGAAGTGCAGTGTCAGACTGCTGCCGTCGCTGTGATCACTACGGTATAAGATAATCCTGGGCTATAAGGTGACCTTACCTTTTCCTAAAAGGAAAGAAGTACTAACTAATTGTAAAATTACTTTGTCTTTATTTATTATAAAATATACAAATTAAATAATAACTTTGATAGAGTTCTTTAATAACTTAAACTCCTTTATTATCCACAGAATTCTTATTTTACACTTTCTGTTACATTCTCCTTAATCCTAAAACCAGGTTTTGACTGGGTGCTAATATAGCATACGGTCATATAGGAAACATGTGGTAAGCTATGAGAATTTTTCACTAGCATTCTCTTTTTAAGTTAAGCTTGAACATGTTTTACACAGTAAAGCAAAAATCAGTGCATTTAAATTTGACATTGCAGTTAATCTCTTCAGCAGAATGGATAATCCACTTCATAATTCCTTCTAGATTGTTGTTGATTTGTCGCTTCCCTTGCTAGCTCTTTGTTCCTTCAGCTTCTGCACATCCCATCCCACTCACCCCTGGAGATGGTTTTATCTTTCTAGACATCTTTATAGACAAGAGCTGCCTCCATTGCCTAGCCTGGAGAATCCCTGTCTATGTGGTTTCCATAAACCTTGAGAATGAAAAGCTGGCTAGCATTTCTTAATTGTATCCATTTGTGTCCTCAAAAGTCCCAACTCACTTCAGCTATCTCAGGTGATCTAACTGAACCAGTTGTTGGACCTGGAGAAGGGCGGGGCCTAAGGGTGAGACTCAGAGGGTTATCCCCAAAGTTCCTTTTCTGAGTCACTGCCTTTCATTTGCACCGTGAGTGGGAGCTCCAGGGGCCATAAAATTGACAGAGCAATATTGCTAATATGACCTTATATTTCACTTTCAAATAAGCTGTCTACTGTTGGAACTCTGTTAATAGTTGGTTAGCTCTGATTTCATTTTTAACTTCATTAGCAAATATCAATTGTATAAAATGTCCGGGTTTACTGTTTCAATTTCCTACATCATGCTATGTACTCTGATCACATTCAACAATAAACTCGCTTAAAAAGTGAGCAAAGGTCTTGAGTAGACATTTTCCCAAAGAAATTATTAGACAAGTAACACAAATAAGCAAAGAAAAACAACTTGGCATTCCTGACTACAGGGAAAGCAAATTAAAACCTAAATAAAATCCTATTTTACACCACTGTGATGGCTATTATTGAGAAAATCCAAGAGAAGAGCAAGTTCTGGTGAGGATGCGGAGAAACTGGAGCCCTGTGCACTGTTGGCGGAGCACAGTGCCACCGCCAGGGAGGACGGTTCCTCAGGAGAGCTCATCCCCCAAAAGAAGGATGATTGTGTCATCTAGAGGCTTATCCTATTTCAAAAACATTTCAAAGCAGGGGCTCAAGGACCTGCTTGCTTATCTATACTCATAGCAGCATTGCTTGCAATAACCAAAATGTGCAGGCAACCTGGAAGTCATGTACAGGTGAATAAACTGTGGCACATGCATGTAACAGAATACTATTTCTCTCTTTCAAAGAAAATCTTGATATATATTTCAATATGGATGAACCTGGAGGCTATTATAGTAAGTGACATATCGGCGAATCAATCCCACACCAGTTATGTTTTAAGGGGTTATTTATTTTGGGGGGTAAAACTTACATACACCATAAACCATCAGGAAGGGAGCCTAGTCGCAGGAGCCGGGAGCAGGAGCCAGGAGCAAGCACCGGAACCAAGAGCCGGAACCAAGAGGGCCTGATCTGGATCTGCTTCTCTTTTTAAAAGAGAAGCATACCACGCCCCAGTGGGCTGGTATTTCAGCAGCTATTGGCTGATGGAGCGGAAGTCGCTCCCCGCTGCACTGTGGGCTCGTATTTCAGCGACTATTGGTTGAGGCAGCGGAAGTTACTCCCGCAACAGTGACATAAATTTGTTACAAAGTAAAAACACTGTGTGTTCACTTTTATGAGGTACCAAGAGTGATTAGGTTCATGGAGGCAGGTGGAATGGTGGCTACTGGTGGCTTGGGAGAGGGAGGTGGCAACTGGACTTAAGAATAGTTGTGAGCTGCCATGTGGGTTGTGAGCTACCACACCCAGGTCCTCTGGAAGAGCAAACAGTGCTCTTCTGATAGTGTTAGACTCCTTTAGGGATGAGCACATTCCTTTCTCTCTCTGTGGACTAGCTCGCTGGACAGGGACTTCGCTAGGTTTCTTCTTTGTTGTCTCTCCTATTTGGAGGTCTTTGGGTGGCACATAGCAGATCCAGTGAATGAACAACAAACAATGGAAGGGACATCTGCTTACACCTGTTTTATATTCAGTTGAGGGCAAGGGTTATTATCCCATCTCTTGTTAGCAGCTTTTTTCCAACCTTAACTATAGCCTTTCTTCTTAGAGTGTTGATTATTATTACAATAGTACCTAACTCTAAGATGATTCAGAGAAGTAGTTTATATAAAACAATTAATATTATTGTACTTCTTTCTCTTACCTTTTAAGTGTTCTTGTATGTGTGTTCACATGTGTGGGTGTGCATGCGGTGGCCAGAAGGGACATTAGGTATCTCCCTTAATCATTGCCCACCTTATTTAAATTTGTTATTAGATTGTGTGTGTGTGTGTGTGTGTGTGTGTGTGTACACGTGTGCATGCCCAAATGACAAGGCATGTGTCACTTGCTGGGAGTCAGTTCTTTCTTCTTACCCTTTGGGTCCCAAGGATCAAACTCAGACTACCAGGATTAACAACAGGTGTCTTTACTTGCTGAGCCATCGCCAGGGCTCTCCCCCTTATTTTTTTTTTGAGACAGAGTCTCTCATAAACCTGGAGCTTGCCTATTCAAGCAAGATTTGGTGGGGTAGCAAGCCGGGAAATGCCCTGTCTCTGCCTTATGACACAGGGACCAGAGGTGTGTGCTGCCACTTACTTATTTATTTATTAGTTAATGTGGGCGCCAGGAGATTGAACTCAGGTCCTCATGCTTAGAAGGCAAACATTTTACTGACTGGGACATCCTCCCAGCTCTCCTCACCCTAATCCTGTATTGCATGGTAACTTAATGTGCTATTAATTTACCTTCTAAAACAGCAAAGTTCCTAGGAGCTTTGTTTCCATAGCTTAACCTGCATCACTGTCCTGGACTGAGACGAAACTCTAGCCAAGAGTGGCCTTTTTCTTCTTCTGTCATTGTTTCTGGCTCAAGCATAGTCAGGTCAAGTCCTGGCTGCTCCCAGTGACTTTTTGAACCTTCTCTCTCTCTGGAGGGTAGGGGGCATGTTTGAGAGTTAGACAGTAAACAAAGCTGAGCGTGTCTCTGAATAAGAATGAAGACGATGGCCGTGGCGCACCGCGTCTGCAGAGTCATCTCATATGCTGGGTGTTGGTCCTGGGTCTGCAAGGATAAAGGCAACAAATTTGGTCAAAGCACAGGGTGTCTTAGAGAGTGTTTTATACTGGGCAAGTCTGGAACCTGTGTGAGCTTTTTCAGTGGAATATATTCCACAGGTGGGTAGGAAAATATCAATCACTGCATGTTCACTCTGTGCATCAAGCCTTGCCTCCAATGCTTGTGTGGAATATTTCTAATATAAAAATGAAGAAATGTATTTGAAAAGTTGAGTTTGTTCTTCATGACTGATAGAAGATTCAGGAAAGTCAACTTATACAGAGGCTTAGTGACACCAGCTTAATACACCCTGTGATGTTAGGCGAAGGATGGATCACGTGGCACACCCTCGGGTGCCCTTTCCTTTTCCCCATCAGACTCTGGGTGTATGTGTAGAACAGTCTCTGCCTTCACTCACGCCTTCCTGCCAGCTTCCCAGTCAAATCCCAGCCTCCTTGCTATGATGCCAGCAGCATCACTGAAGACTGTCAAGGGGGGAATGCAGGGGTTCTCTGCTGTAACCTCATTCCTGGTCACCAACTGAACATCAGCAATGGTGTTTCTTCCTTCCCCAATGGCTGGGTGGCTTTTACTCTACCACACTGCTGACCACGTGAAAGTGTTATGTAAATCATGGGTTATTTCTGTTCTGCTCACTAGGATTTGGTTTTACATAGTTCACTCCTGAGAAGGAAAATGTGTTACAAGTAAACCCATCTTAGAAGGAAAGGAACTTTTATATATATATATATAAAAGAATATTGGGACGTTCTTTGCTTCAACAGTCAATTTGCAAGCCCATGCAACATAGTAAAGAAACAGCCCATGTATTCTCATGAAGAGATTCCATCTGGATTTCACCTGCTTTCCAAACGACAGCCTTTCCGGCCACATGCTGAACTTCTCTTATTTCTGGTCTTCTTCAGCCATTCTCCGGCTTCCACTATCTTTGCAGATCTAAAGGTTACAGACTGTAGAATATCCTGCTTTGGTTTATCTGGCGTGTCCTCGTGACGGCATTCTCCAGGTTGTTCTGTATGGAGCTACTCACTCAATCCAACCAGGCCTCCTGCTCAGCCCCCTTTGACTCCTGCCACACAACTTGCACCGCTCAGACCTGCCTGATCATTCCTCACATGGAAGGAAGCTAGGAAAGGAAAAGGAAGGGTGGGGGAAGGAGAGAGGAAAGTCAAGAAGGAGGCATGAATGAGTAGAGATGGCGAGAGGAGGGAGGAAGCATAGAGGGTAGAGGGACCATTGGTGTTTATATATGAAGTAGAAATATTCAAAATCGACCAATTATCTATAATTGCTGTTATTAAAAAGATTCAAATATTTACACTAAATGTATAGTTCTCAGGACATAGTTCAAATGAATGTTGAAACACTGAAGTTTTAGCACAGCCATTGTAATTCTATTATTTAAAACAATTACAGTTATTTTAAAATGTGAAGTATTCACGTGATTTAGTAATGGTGGTAATTTTAGTAATTTAGTGCCATCTTTTCACAGTTGAGACTTGTTGGCATTTCTTTGGGGCATGGTAGATAGTCTGGACAAGAGACAGAATTCATTTATCTTTTAACCTGGAATTCTGACCTCTAAATGACTTAGAGAATATGATAGATTTCCAATTAGCTCAGTGTGATATGAATGAGGCTAAACCTAAAGTGATTCTCTCCTCGCTGCGTTGCTAGGACATCCAGGCTCATATTTCACTGCATGATAAACATCACCTTTCCTGTGATGTAGCTGTGTGGTGAAACTGTGAACATGTGATAGAATCGGCTCTCCTGGAGCGGCTGATGATTTGTCCTTATCAGGGCAGTCAGTAGCTATTAATAAGAAGAACAAACTTGTTTACCTGCACAAACTGTGAGGCCCCAGAGTGGTCATTCAAGCAGATCCACTCCAAGGAATCCAAGATGGGTGCTGAAGTCTCCAAGGACCAAAACTGATGAAGTCAAAAAAAGGCTGCTGTTTCCATGGAAATGAAGGGCACAGGCAGGCCAGCGCCTTTTAAAGCAGGAGTGCTGAATTAGGCTGGATGCTAGACTCTCTTCCTAACCACAGAAATGGGCGAAGTAAAACAAATATGAGCCCAGGGTTTTCTGTGTGGCCTTCGTGGGAGCCCTTGGCCCATGAGCCTTACCAACAGGCACAGGGAAGGAAGCCCTCTCGTGGAAGTCCATGAGCATTTCCTTCCCCTGTGCAGAAACTGGCTATGATTGTTATCTCTGTGTTAGCCATCCTTCACCATCGTAGCTAACAGCGGAGATAGTCAGTATGTAAGTAGGGAAAGGTTCTCCTGGGGTTAAGGTTTCAGAAGTTCCAGTCCGTCATCGGACCCCACTACTTATAGGCCACTGTGGGAGTGGAGGACATGGAGGGTGGGGAGAGGGGTGGAGGATGGAGTGTGTGTGTGTGTGTGTGTGTGTGTGTGTGTGTGTGTGTGCATGCCTGTGTGTGTAGGTGACAGTAGTGGAGAGTGCAGGGTGGTTGTTGTTGTTGTTGGTGTGTGTGTGTGTGTGTGTGTGTGTGTGTGCATACCTGTGTGTGTAGGAGACAGTAGTGGAGAGTGCAGGGTGGAATAAAACCTCTCACTGTTGGGAATAATATTTTCAGGTGTGTTACTTTTGTTTATGCTGTGTTTCTTTAACTCTGTGAAGCTGTGATTCTTTGCCTGTCTGGAACACCTGATGATTTAATAAAGATCTGAACGGCCAATAGTGAGGCAGGAGAAAGGATAGGCAAGGCTGGCAGGTAGAAAGAATATATAGAAAGAAATCTGGAAGGAAGGGGTTCTGAGTAGTAGCATGAGAAGGAGAAAGACATCAGGAGTCAGTCACCCAGCTACACAGCAATCCACGGAGTAAGAGTAAGATTTACAGAAGCGAGAGAACAGGAAAAGCCCAGAAGCAAAAGGTAGATGGGGTAACAGAAGTTAAGGAAAGCAGGCAAGAAACAAGCTAAGTCTGGACGTTTATAACTAAGAATAAGACTCCATGTGTGATTCATTTGGGAGCTGGGTGGCGGGTGCCCCCCAAAAGAGTCCTAAGAGCATAACATCATACAACTCCATCTCACGTCCCAGCTAGTAAGCTAGAATCAGAATCTGGGGTTCTACAGCCTCCATGGTACAGTTCTCCCCAACTGGCCTGACGACCTCACAGTAGGTTACACCCCTAAAAGTCTCTACCCGCTCTCCACAGTGCTAAGCTTAGGACCAAGGCTTCACCACAGGCCTTTCTGAGGGCATCCATATCCGGACTACAGCAATTGTGTTCGGTGTTCCTCAATCCACTGAACATACATTTGTAAAACATGTTTCCAGATGATTAGAAGATTGCCCTAAGGTTTTTAAAAATTAGATTCAACAAACAAAAAGCCAATAGAATTTCTGAATCTTCCCAGTGTCTTACTCACCTCAGGCACACATTCATTTTCTTCTTCCCGAAGCACCCACTGCTCTTGATCAGTGTGAGCTCTGTGCAGGAAGCCTGGTCAGCCCTGAGGTTTGCTTCTGAGCCGCTGAGAACACTGCAGGCCGATGGCTCCCAGTATCCTTGACAGCAAAGCTTAAGATTTAAGCACTTCACAAACTTATTTTTGATTTTCATGGTGCTTGTTTAAGAATTCTACTTTTTGTTTTGTTTTGATTTTTGGTTTCTCAAGGCAGGGTTTCTCTGTAGCTTTGGAGCCTATCCTGGAACTAGCTTTTGTAGACCAGGCTGGCCTTGAACTCACAGAAATTCATCTGTCTCTGCCTCCCGAGCATTTTGTTCATGTTTAAGACTGATTTTAAAGTCTGCTTTATTGCAAATCTTTACACAGAACAAAACAAACGCACGAAGGTTTCTGATGAACACACATTGTGTAACCACCCTCATAATCAAGGTCGGGAAGTCCCATCACCCCATCCTTGTGCTGCACTTTGACCTTTAGTATCACACCCCTCAATAAAAATAATTTGCAACTCCATAGTTCCTGATCTGTTTCGGTTCCTATATGTATAGTTTTGTTCTTTCCAGAACGTCCAATCATGCGAGCTGCTTGCCAGCGACTGCTTTTCAGCACTGAGAGGCATTTCCGCGTGTGAACGCAGCACTGACTGTTCTGTAGCTCGTCCACTCAGGAACCTTTCGGTTGGTTGTTTCTCGGTTGGCAAGTGTCGTCCCAAGATGAAAAGGTTTCCAGGGAGGACCTTTGGAGCCTCTTCCAAGGAGAGGTAGCAAGAGCAGACGGTGTCTGAGGGCTTCTCCTGAGGAAGGGGCTAATTCCCAAGACTACAATGTGAACACAATAGAAGTACAGGAACGGGTTTCAGGGTCATTTTTATTAACAGCAGGCAGTCCTTGCCTACAGACTTAATATTTATACACTATGTTTTAAACAGACTGGTGGGAGTAAATTCAAGATCTTAGACCCCAGCTTTTGAATAAACAAGTGATTTTAGTTTCTGTTCTAAATTCCCGAAGACAGCAGGATATAACCAGTTTCTACTAAGTAGAGCGATTGAAGGAAGGCTATTCCAAGAAGGGCATCCCGCTTGACGGCGAGGCAGCTGTTCGTATTCTCATTTTACTGACGAAAGGCTATGCAGGGAATCAGGACTCGGATTTTCTCTCTGTAGATCCAATGTAGTTATCCTGGGAATTGTCTCACTTGAACAATAAATGCTAAACCTCAAAACAACACCTGCCACGAGGGAAAGGGGCCGAAGTTTCTCTGTGTGGTGTGGGAAGGTACCCACTGTGCGCCGTCTCCCCCTCCTCTCTCCAAGGCCTCCTGGGCAACCGAAGCTCTTCTCTGAAAAAAGACCTCTAGCAGGTCCCTCTGCTCCTTTTGGTCAGCTAGATGGTTTCACATTTGACTCATCGTCCCAGTTACCCGCCCCTAGCCATCTTCTGGTGAACACAAACAGCAGTTCTCCAACTCTTTCAGTCCAATGGGCCTTTGAGGCTGAGCAATCTGCCCTTCAAAACACCTCCTCCCCGCAGGCTTTAATATGCTGGCGGCGAAACTTGCAGCTTTGGGGGGCTTTGGACAGAACAGAAACCGGTATCAGAGTCCCTAGCAACCCAATCCTCCTGCCCGCACGTTTTGGGGGCTGGAATCTGGCCCAACCCGTCCCAGCAGCCAGGCCAGGCCTGGGCCAGCTCCGCCCCGAGCAGCAGCTGGGCGGCCACACCCTGTGCCGAGCTGGGTTCCTGTGAGCCAGAAGCCTCGCCCCCCGACGACGTTCCGGAGTCTCAGCGGCTGCCGCCCCACCCAGCCAGGCCTCGCCACCCCGATCGCTCTCGGTCCCCCTCAGTCTGCTGTGACTTCCCCGGGACCATGCGGCGCTGGCTGCGGTCCTTCGTGCTGCCTACCGCCGCCTGCCAGGACGCGGAGCCGCCCACGCGCTACGAGACGCTCTTCCGGGCGCTGGACCGCAATGGGGACGGCGTGGTGGACATCGGAGAGTTGCAGCAGGGGCTGCAGAGCCTGGGCATCCCACTGGGCCAGGACGCCGAGGAGGTGGGTCGCCAGGGGAGCTGGGGAGGCTGCCGGTGCTCCGGGACCGACCGAACCAGGTACCGGGAGGGCTGTGGCCTGAGGCCAGGCAAGGAGGCGGAACTATGCCCGCCAGCAGCTGGAAGATCTCCGGAGAGTTGAATCTGGAAGGCGACGGGTATTTTTCCAGATAAGTTAGTGTTACACACTTAAAACTGCCAAGGCTTTCGTTCTGAGAGCATCTCTAGTTCTTGGTTCTTCACTTGCCCCGTCCTTTGCAAACAATGCATGGCTGTTCCCCTGCCAGACTTCTTTAAGTTAGGTGAAAGAGACACTTTGTGTCCCTTAGAAGCAGCTTTGTTACAACTACCAACTAGAGTTTTGTTTCAAAAACGGGTTAAAACCCACAGTGCTCCCAGCCGCTGGTTGAGGTGGAAATGCCACATTCCGTTTTCATGACTTTCTAAGTTTGTGCCCTTAGTACACATATTGATCTGGAGGGTTGACCTGTTGTAAAGTAATTCTTCTTCCTCTGAGTCATGTAAATTGTGCCCCTGACATCCAGGCCCCTTGGCAGGGTGGACACACTGAACCTGGAACTCGTCCAGCCGTTGCTGTGCAAGAGGACACTGACTTTCCTAGCCCACGAAGAACGTGCTTGAGTTACTGCGGGGGGCCACCAACTGTTCTGTATCTATATTTAAAACACTGTCACTGTCACTGTCCTTAATAAGAGGCCTCTTCACTTTACTATATCCTCTTAGTAAGTTAAACTTTTTATTTTTTTTGGGGGGGGGGGCTACTCATTTTGCCCAAAGTATTATTATATATGTCATTTCTGATCTCTGTTTCTTCTCCTTCTCCACACTGGCCATAGGTTTGCCTATTTAATACACACTCTGAAAGAACCAACTTTGGGTACTTTTTGCGGAGTGTGTCTGTTCTACTTAATCTGGGTTGACTCATTTCCTCCTATTTCTTGAATCAAAGGTCTGACTTACTAATCTTGAGTGATAGCATCTCTTAGCCTCTCCATAGCTACATCTCACAGGCATGTTGAGGGTTATTTATTTATTTATTGAGGCAGGGTTTCTCTGTGTAACAGCCCTGGCTGTTCTGGAACTCACTCTGTAGACCAACCTGGCCTCGAACTCACAGAGATCCGCTTGCCTCTGCCTCCTGAGCGCTGGAATTAAAGGCGTGCGCCACCACCGCCTTGAGGGTTAGTTGTTTTTATTATTCACCTCCAGGTGATTTCTAGCCACTAGTATGATTTCTTTGACTCAGGTTTCATTTTAAGTGTGCTTTAAATTTCCTAATACGTTTTTGTTTTTTTGAAAATATGAACAAAGTTGACAAAGCATCTGGCGAGATTTTAAAAAGAGAGGAATTAGCCAGGCATGATGGGGTATGCCTATAATCCCAGAACTCTGGAAGCTGAGGCAGGAGAATTGCTGTAAGTTACTGGTCAGCTTGGGCTCTGTCCTCCTCTCGTCTAAGTCAAACTCGAGTGAACTGAAACACACAACGACAAAAGCTCAAAACCTGAACCCCACAGTAACAACAAATCACGAGATAAAGTCTTTAACTTTTCAAAATGTATTATATATGAAATCAATTACATAAAACTATGTGTATATAAATATGTAGAAGAGGGCAGCTCATGTTTACCACTGATAAGTGTATATATTTTGTGCATATATAAATTATATTGTGCTCAGATGTGTAGTACCACTATTGGTGCCGTGCCTGGCATATGATCAAACTATTCCCAGCATGAATGCACTCTTCTGCAGAAGGCTAGTAAAAGCTATTTCTCAATGATAAAACAATCATTCTACTTTTTCTTTACAACATTGGTAGCATTTCAGTTTAGGAACTGTTATTTTTATAGTTAAGGGGAAGTTATTTCTATTTTGAATAACTGGCACCGTCTCTGTGGTGTGTCTTCCTGGACCACCATCCAGGGATGAGCTGACTGTGTCCTGCTGGGTGTGGCTCCCTTGCCTCACGTGTTACCACTTTTATGATTGCGAGTGGTATTACTTATTAATCAGTACGACCTCCAATAAGACCAGCACTTAGGATTGACAATTCTGTCTCTTTCATTGGATCCAAGTGATATCAAAGGAGTTAGGGCAAGCATCTGAAATACACTGACACGGCAGTGACCTGCCTTAATAATTAAAAAAAGAGAAAATTAAACTTTAAATCAGTTGTGTTCCTTTTATATACTTATTTATTTGTATGTGTGTGCACATGTACTTGCGTGAAAAGTGTTGCATGACTATGGAGGTCAGAGGACATCTCATTGAGTCACTTCTCCCTTTTACCAAGTGAACTCCCAGGAACTCAGGCCTTGGTGGCAAGTGCCCTTACCCGCTGTGTGGTCCTGCAGGCCCCATTTATTAGCGCTTCCATTTTCATCATAAGTAGGACCAGCTAGCCAAAACCATGCTGGGGAAATCGGAACAACATGTAGTATGTGATATGGCAGGCAGATTCCTAGATCATGGGATAACTTGTACGCCTTATTTGCTGTGATCTGGACACACATAACTTGTCTGTGTTTCCACTTCAGGCCATTTCTCCTCACACATGCAGTGAACACCACCCTAGACACATACGATTCTTCTTCTCTTTGTTTCCCAAGGCTCCTTCTGCCGTGCTGCAGGATGGCGGCTCTGGTTGTTCTGTGCTCACTCAGGGATCCTCAGCTGACCAGGCTTCAGCTGCCCCTCCTCATTCACAGAGGAGTGGGATTTGGATAAGAGCTTCATCATCACAGGAGTTCCTAAAAAGTCTAGGCCAGGCTGATAGGGAACTAGCCAATGGTATTGAAGAGAGGACGAGAGGACACTTGTGTTGGGGAGAAGTGGCCCAGCTCCAGTTCCCCACAGAATCCTGTCACTGCCTGGAGCAGCCCAGGTACAGTGTATCACAAGGTGCCATGGCTGGAGACTGGAGGATGCCAGTTAGCCATGTCTCCCATGCAGAATCCCTTGAAGGGGAATAATCTCATCATCCATGGGCCATGATTCCTACAATACACAAGAACTTTCTGCAGCCCTCAATAATTTTCAAGATTCTAAAAGAATCTGGAGACCAGAGAGGTTGTTAATGGCTGCTGTGCGGAATTTTGAATGATTGTGTGATATACTACTTTATGTTTATATAATGTTATTGCCAATACTCTGATTGCCATTTAGCTTATTAATAGTTTCAAAACTGTATCAAATAAAATTAAATCAGAATCCTTTTGTTTTTATTTTTTGTCTCATTTGGTCCAGTTATTTTCATAAGATACATTTTTTTTAACTTTTTGAGCTTATACTATAGTTACAATGTTTATCCCTTCCCTTTCCTCCCTTCAGACTCTCCTATGCATTCCTCCTTGCTTTCCTCCAAATATAAATGTGTGTGTGTGTGTGTGTGTGTGTGTGTATGTGCATGCATATGTAGAAATATAACCCACTCAGTCTGTGCAATGCTACTTGCTTGCATGTTTTCAGGGCTGACCATTTGGTATTGTGTGTTCTTCCTTGGAGAAGAGCATTTTCCCACTTTTAGCATTCCTAATTTGCCTGTCGGTCCCTGTGTAGGGTTGAGGCCTCGTGGCCTTTTCTCCATTCACTTCAGCCTATTATTCTTTTTCAGCTCACATTTGGACAGCCATTTTGACTTTATAGATGAGATTTTGGTGGGGCTTTGTGGAGGTCATTTCTGACATTGCTAGGAGACAGAATCTCTTAGCACACACCCCAATCTCCTGGCTCTTACAGTCAATCTTTCCTCCCCGTCTTCTGCCCTGTTTCCTGAACCTTAGGTGTAGGAGTGTCTCATAGATGTATCTGTTAGGACTGGGCTCCACAACTCTGCAGTTTGATTGTCTGTGGTTTTCTATAGTTTTCTCTGTCTCTTGCAAGGAGACGTTTCCTTGTTGAGGGGTGAACACTGCAACCACACCTATCCGTAGGTAGGTATAAGGACAGATGTTTAAGCTGTCAATAGGGATTATGTGGGTTTAGTAAGTTAGTGCTTGCAGATTCTCCTCAAATATCCGTGGCTTCACTAGCACTGAGTCGTAAGCTACTTTTCCTGTCCCAGACGTGTTTGCCGTCTTGTTGAGCGGGTCTTAAATCCAGCCAGAGAGTTGTTGGTTAGCACCAAGGTAGGCGTGTGTGCAGCGACTGCACCCGTAGGATGATTGTGCCGTTCTGGTTGTTGTGGTTCATAGTTGTCACAGCAAGATTGGGCGGTTGGTGGCTTCCCTCCTTTGGGAGCTTGAGTGACATCTGGCAGAATGAAGCCCTATCTTCAGAGAAGAGGCCTTCAGGTCAGGTCCAGTACAGGGGCCCCTAGGCCCTGTTTCTGAAGTGCATGGTGTCTTCTGCAGTAGGGATTTATCTCCACCTCTTGGAGAGAACCAAGGGCAATAGCGATGGGCTGTAGCTTTTTTGAGTCTCTTGGACATCACTGGCCAACACTCAGAAGAGGCCTTCTCATGTCTAGCTAGGTGGACCTTGGTTCTTGGAGGGAGCTTTGTCATCCCAGATGAGAAAAGTTCCTTGAACGTATAAAGGTGGATCTCTGTGAGTTTCTGGTCAGCCAGGTTTACAACTGAGTTGCAGGGCAGCCAGGGTGGTTATACAGAGAAACTCTGCTTTGAAAAGCAACAACAACAAAAGAAAAGAAAAGAAAATCAAAACCAAACTAAAATAAGAAAACCCACCAGACAAAACAGAAACCAAAAAAATCCCTCCAATTATAAATGCATATTTTATACACAGAATTTCATGCTTTAGAACTAGTTTTAGGTTAATCGTTAATGGTACGATTTTATGGCTTTTCAGACATCCTGTTATTTTACCTCCTTCTGCCTTTACCTTCCCACCTTTCTAAAAGCCTCTTTTCAACTCTCCCCATCAGATCCCATGTATCCCACCATTCCCTTTACCCTCTTCCATCCTTCTTCTGTGTTTGCTTCCCTTCTCCTCCCTGAAGAGCCTCCTTTCTCTTCCCTG